CGAAACCGCGTGGGTGTATGCGCCCTGGTTCGTGGGGAGCGTTCTGTCGTGTTTATGAGGCCGTCGTACGCGATGCGGGCGCGTGAGAGGGCGGGCACGCGGCGGGTGGGGCCGAATTGCGGGCGGCGTACGACGCGCAGGACGTACGCGACGCGGTCGTGCGCGAGATTGATGCGTCATGAGCGCATGACGTACGCGTCCTGAGGGCGCGGAAGGCGCAACGTGGCTGGTGGCATGATATATGCGGAGCCTGCCCCGGGTGCTGGGGCCCTCAGTCGAGTAGACCCGGCTGACGCCGTTGCGCATGCCTGAAAGTGTCGTGGACGGTAGTGAAGAGTTGTATTGTACCGTTGAGGGTGTTTTCAGCCGTTCCCGGAGGGTTTTGAATCATTTTTACGAAAATCTGTCTGCGGGCGAGATGAAAATTCGACTTTGTCAGCGTAATTCGTATCTGAACGAGCTGGGAGCGTACCTTGTACGAGATGAGTAAGATACTCATCACACCACATGCAGCCGCAGTGCACAAACAGGGATGACGCGACTGCAGAACCGGCAGAAGTCGTATTTGATGTCGCCGCCTGCCGAGCGGCACTCCGCGCGCAGGACGTGTGCGGCACCTTCGCGCGTGTGACGGCATACTCGTCGGAGGTCTAAGAGCATATAGCGAGCTCTCTGGGCGGGGGCGTCGGGGACGGCGGGCGGTAGACGGCGGTCTTGAGGGCGTGGGTGAGCGCGGAGTGTCGACGACGCCACAGCCGCAATTCCGCACCGCAACGCAAACGGCGTCGTCGAGGTGTCACTACGGGGTGTGGGTACGTGTTTCACGACGTACACAGCGTGCCGTGTGCGCCCGGGGGCGAGCGTTTGCGATTCGAGGCGGGGGCGCACTATGTTATAGGCGCGGTGAGTGCAGTTCGCGTCGGGAGAGCGTGCGAACATACCTGAATGATGACCAGCACTCCTGCATTACGTGCGTGAGTTATGCGCGCGCGCCGTCGGGATCGGCGGGGTGGAAAGTCGCGGAACGTCGCTGGAGGGGCGGATGGAATGCGTCAGGCATCCCGCGCGAAGGACGTTCGTGGCGCCGTAGCGCTCGTGTCAGTGCAATGCTCCAGGTGTGATAATCGATCCCTGAACTTGTGGGATGTGGGCCTTGCGATTTACGAGTAGCACCGCAAGATGACAGGGGCGCGAGCGAGCCGGGCATGTTAGTCCCGCCAGTACCGCAGTTTGGCCCGCCGCGGCGAGTGTTTTCGCCAGCATGTACGGACAGCATAGACGTACACTTTATCTATAGCGGAACAGTCCGCCCCGTGCGACAGGACGCGGGCATTGTCGATTTAGAGGGCGGACGAGCTGTAAATCGGACAGTGTCAGCGCAAATCGTGTCGCAGGGGGCTGGAAACGCACCAGCATATAGATCATGATGGGCTGTACTACGCTGCATCAAATGCGAGCATGCCACTGTACATGCGCCAGCGCGAGGGGCGATAGAGTGTTCGATGCGGCACGCACACGGGGCGACTAGCGGTCTTGCATGCGGGTGTATCGCAAGTGCATTACTCCATATCCGAGATTTCTAGGCCAGAGGTGCGCGGGGCGGGCGTGTAAACTCACGGGAAGGGGACGGGAGGGCACCAGGGGAGGGCAGGCAGACGAAAGAAGGCAGGCGAGGTCGCCCAGACGGAGGGCGGGTTTGGCAGAGGCAGGCGAGGAACGCCCGCGAGAACACGTCCTGGACAGCGGAAAGGACGGGTGGGCGCCTGCTGGATGGAGACGGCGGACGTCATGGTGGGCGAGCGGCGGCGGCGGCGAAGGAATGAGTCGGGCTGTCTGCAGTGACTGTGGTCGCAGTCGAGACCAATATATGCTGCTCAACGTCAGAGTCAAGTCCATGGCGTGTCGATGGTGCAAGCGCCGAACAAGATTAGATTAGATGCACTGTTGCCTCACTCGACTCTTTCTGGACAAATCTCATCCAAGATGTTCTCCCTCTCCGCCCTCGCACGCCACCATAGGCCTCTACCTCCTCGACTACGGCGCGGGCAACGTCCAGAGCCTCGCTAACAGCATCAACAAACTCGGCCATGCTTTCCAGTGCATCTCCTCGCCAGCGGACTTCGACAAGGCCACAGTAAGTGCCTGTCCCTCACGCGGCTCACCAACACTCACCAGAAATCTCCCATAGAGCCTCATCTTCCCTGGCGTCGGCGCATTCGAGAGCGCGATCGATGGCCTCATATCACGCGGCCTTTACGAGCCCCTGCGCGAGTACATCGCCTCGGGGAAACCGTACTTCGGCATCTGCATAGGCATGCAGGTCCTCTTCCGCTCCTCGCTCGAGTCCCCCACCTCCACCGGGCTCGGCATCGTCCCGAGCGACATCGGCCTCTTTAGCAACGTGGACAAGTCCGTTCCCCACATGGGCTGGAACTCGGTCGAGTTCCTCGATCCGGCGGAAACGGCGCACGAAGGCATCGACCCCGCGGCGCGCTACTATTTCGTCCACTCCTTCCGCGCGCCATATGACTGGGAGCACGCGGAAGCCGCCCAATGGGCGCACACCACAACGCAGTACGGCCAGGAGATCTTCTTGGCGTCGGTTCGTAAGGGGAACGTCTTCGCGTGCCAGTTCCACCCGGAGAAGTCTGGAAAGGCCGGCCTGCGCGTCCTCGACGCATGGCTCAGCTCGTCCGAGGCGGAACGTGCGACTAGCCCGCCCACTCCTCGCATAGCACGTCATCCGAATCCGAAGGACGGCTTTACGAAGCGCGTCGTGGCATGCATGGACGTCCGGTCGAACGATGCCGGTGACCTTGTTGTTACAAAGGGTGACCAGTACGACGTTCGCGAACGCACAAGCGCGGACGGTGTGCAAGCACAGGCCGCAGGTGAAGTTCGCAACCTCGGTAAACCCGTCGCGCTCGCCGCACGGTACTACGAGGAAGGCGCGGACGAGCTCTGTCTCATGAACATCACCTCCTTCCGCCACTCCCCTCTACTCGACCAGCCGATGCTGGCCGTCGTTCGCGCGGCTGCGGAAACCGTCTATGTCCCGCTCACGATCGGTGGTGGCATCAAGGACACCGTGGACC